CAGGCGTCTGATAGGGTTCGATTTTCAGTTTTCTGCCTCACATAGTAGGAATATTCATGGTTTCTGTTATTTAGTTCATAGGTCGATGACTTATACAACATTTTTAAAAGTCTCATGCATCTTAGTGGAGATAATATAGCAGAAGAAGAATCCGTGATAACTTAATCATTGTTAGGATGGTGGGAGATAACTCCCTATCTAGCTAGTGTGGTCTATTTCTATGTGGGTAAGAGTATCTCAAGGCATAAGGCAGAAAGGTACAGGAGATTAGGCTGATTCACGTCTGCACAAATCATCAGTTTTCTCATTGCGTATTTATTTAGTGGGCCTGCTAGAAAGAAGGATTGTATTTGCAGTAGATAACGATTATGCACAAAAAAATGCCGAAAAGTATAAAACTATCACCAACTATCTGGTTGTTAACAATGAAAAATAAAATAAAATTTTATTGAGTTAACGAAAATTGAATCACCTGAATTTTTTATGATCTATCAATTTATGATGGCGACCATAGTAACAGATGTAACAAGTTGACCTCGACCTTCACAGAGAACTAACAAGGCCAGACATCAGCATCCTCAGACTTTCCTGGTCAACATTTTAACTTTAAGCTTTGGAATCTTTTTTTCACTACTAATGACATCAAATGCCACAGTAACGAACAATTCAACGACTGACAGAGTTGTAAAAAGTAATTGAGTGACTTTCCTATAATGTGTATTTGTACATAATAAAATTTACTAACCCTAGTGGGTTAAGCTAGTGGCTAACAACACTACGTACATTTGAGTTTAAGATTTTTTTATATATCTAGTTTTTTTGGAGTTATAACTCTGAAAATCATCGGCTGGGGATAATGGACATGTTTTCACTTCGGACCCGTTCTCGAATTGTCATGTACAATTCTTGCTCTTACCCTTCAGATATTCAAAATGAAGATTTCAAGTAATAATACCATGAGAAATAAGGAAAGTCTCAATCGCCACTTATGGGATTAGTCTTTAAGTATCAGAAATAAATGATAACCATTCTGAAAACAAAATTATAGGCGTTTTTTATTATGTCTATGGTCTATGAAAAACAAGGGACCGTTGTTGGCTATATTACATCCCATTAGATTATGGGTAACCACAAAAGTAATATTGAAAATCTAGTATCAGATTGTAATATTTATAGCATTAGTTACCCGGCCCATGCTTCTTTATTCAATGCCATAACGTTTGGAAAATCAAATTTAGTAAGCACAGGGGGTATTAAGCCTCTTCATTTCGAGAGGTTATAACTATTTTAATGGATAACTAGTAGATCTAGTGTTGTTTTTAAATTCGTTCTCGAAATATTTGGGTTAGATTATTTCATGTGTTTATATCTATTGTTTATAAACTCTAAGTATAACCTATTATTAGTCCAGCCACCGCATTATTTCAGTTCTTCGAAAAACTCTGTTGTCTCTCTTGTTCAGACATATAGACGTATTTTATGAAACCTAATCCTTTGCCTGTAGAATTTCTGATTTACCTAAAATATTCAGATGGAAGTCTCACTAGGTCAAAATGCTAATAAAATGCTAAATCTTGACGGTGTTTGCAAAATTCTGAAGATTCGCTGTATTTGGATCCAATGTATTTCTGACATAAATTTTTTTCCAATTTATGGTATGTAGTACATGTATCTATATTCAAGGATTTGGCAAAGATTGAAAACATGTATCTCCATACACGACAGAACACCTCGCGTGTTCTCAGTATGTCGGATAAGCATGTTGCATTGTTTGAACAGCATGATGACGGTCAGTATTGTAGACAGCTGTCAGCATATTTGCACCTCAATAACTAATATTGTTCGCTCTGTTTTTGGTGTGTACGGTAAAGTTTCACTTTACTAAACACTTTTTGGTCAACCCATGCATGATCTCTATTCTGAAAAAAAGTGCTGATGAATAGGCAACCTGTTTGGACTCTTAATCTAAGACCACTGTAAACAAGATAAGTTGTGTAAAATGTAGCACAGCCCGAAATAAAGAGAGGTGTTTCAAAAAGGGACAATCCCGTACACGTGCAAGTTAGCTGCTTCAAATGTTATCTACTTAAAGTAATATGTGGAGAAAGGGAAATTGGATAGCGTTTTATTGAGACCGTGATGAAAGTTGGCGCTGGACAAAGTTAAGTTGCAATCTTTGTGGAGCTTCAAAGGAGAGCGAAGGAATTTTGGTAACCCTAAGTAAATCTATTTCCTACGTCGACACGCTGCCCAAATATTAATAACCACTACCACAATTTGTTGTATGGATTATGTTAAAGAGATCGTTCTGTTAGTATTAGAAATTATCCTTCGTTGATGCGTAGAGAGATATATTCCGAGTGTCGTTCTCTTAGTAAGTTATTTCTCTCCGTGGTCACAAATTATTGTTTTAAAATTGTACAAAATAAGGGTTCAGTTTATAAGTCTTGCTTTATATCCCATATGTTTAGTAAAAATCAAGAAGAATGAATACCAAAACCGGGGATAAACACATATGAAACCTACTCTTCTCAAAGATGGATGAGGTAGATGTTAGTAGTATTTCATCGGAATCTAGAATACTTTTCTGGGTACACATTACATTAGTAGCTAGGTTTCCCAGAGAACTTGTTTTCATAACATCAGAATGAGGTCGTTAAACGTTGAAAGTTTAAACGACCTTCGGTTTTAAAATCACAGATTCAGACTTCCCCTTCAAACATAAGTTTTAAAAAGCTGTTGTTTATTGACCCTAAGCGATACAGATAGATTAAGGTTATTTACAGTGTTTGCTTGCCAAAGTAATTGTATAAATCATTTTTTTCTAGGGCCTTAAATGATTTGTTAATGACTGGTTTTATATCAGGGGTTTAAACTTCCTGATTTCCACCTGTTATTTGTTGAACCATTTTATTCCCATAATTTCGCACCATGTTCCTAATTTTAGTGTGCATAAATCATCTTTTACAAGATAGATATAATGATAATTTCAGAATACATAGCTCATAACTTTATATTTAAGATTTTATACAACCGGTTCCTGTCTACAACCTAACTAACTACTTAGAATATTCCTCAAAACCCTTTTTACTAATCCGCTATTGTGTCTACAAAATACTTCCCAATTGGTAAACTCGTAGGTTTTTGTCCAGGTGGTGTAATACTTCGATATTATTTGGCGGAAATTGATTTGTTCCCAATCGTAGCAGAAAAAATCAGCTGTTCATTTCGTTTTTTAAGGTTGCTTCAAGACTGGCCTGTGTTAACACCTGAACTAAAAATGGAAAGTAAAGTCGAACGCGTAGATAACTTCATTTATCTTGGAAGTCTGATCAGCCCTAATGGGTTGGTATTTGACGAAATCTCTACACCGATTCAAAAACTAGTTCGCTTTTATTACCTTACGTCACTTATGGCGAAGGCTAGATATCCATCTATCAATTAAGGGACGAGTACGCTGCGTGACAGTCCGTTCTGTTTTACTTTACGGCCGCGGAACGTGGCCATTAAGAGCAGAGGATACTTGCAAGTTGCTAGTGTTTAATCACAGATGCCTTCGAAATATTGCTCACATGTGCTGGGATAACCGGGCAAGCAATAGTGAGGTTAGATGCAGGGTATTAGGGAATAGTGGTAAATCAGTTGATGAGTTGGGCCACGTATTAAGCATGGCAAACTACCGACTACCATGGTGAGCAATGCTGCCTAATGTTGGGGACGGTTGGAAGAAGGTCAGGGGCGGCCAAACCGAAACGTGGCATCAATCCATAAAGTCATCAACTTCTGGTCTGAGTCATGTTGATGGATGCAGACTACTTGGTTGGGGTTCGCGCGATTATCGTAACCAATTGTTGGAGACTCTGTGTGACATGCTCA